CCCCCCCCCCCCCCTGAGATGACCTGCGGTTTTCTAATACAACTGGTATTCTGCGGAAAAAAAAAGTGGTTTATTGGCGTTGAAGTAGAGCAAGAGACGAGTGCACCCCCTCCTAAAAAAAATCCTGGATCCGCCCCTGTATCTAGTTGTTAAGATATGAGTTGACTGTATTCTGAAGTGATGTAGTCTTTCTGGTAGCTTTTAAGAAGTATATCGGGTTTTCCTTTTTTTAGGAGATCACAGTGTGCCATGCAGTCAACCAGAAATTACTTCAGTCTCACCTATTGCGGCTTTGGTGCCAACAGCAAACCAAAGAATAACCACACCAATGCAGCTATCACAAAATCTTCCTCCAGAAAAAGAAGACTCTGAAAACAAAGTTTCCTTGCTAAGTGAATTGTCTTCTGTTGGTGATCATCTTTCAATGAGCTATGCTAGTAAGGAAGGGATCAATCAAGAGGAAGAACAAGATTTGTCGGAGGATGATTCATGTGATTCAAGTTACTTGCAACGTTTAAGTTATGCTGTGAAGACTTTCAATGAGCATTACCAGAACAGCAAAGCAGAGGAGGAGTCTTCATCAACTGCTGATTCCTTTTCGCCAGAGGCATTCCTGTCATCTATTCCACTTTTCAAAAAGCTAAGTAAGAGGAGACCAGCCAACATACTTCCCAAGCCAAATACCACAGAATATTCCATTAGGGGACAGCATCAACATTTTTTAACAAGCAGTCATGGAGTATCATCAATTTTGCCTCAGCAGTTTTCTATGGTAGCTGATGTTGGTCATGGTGTACCAATTGCACCAAAGCCAGACCCTAACACTCAGGTGTCTTGTTATGTGCTTGTAGTTCCTACTCCAGTTTACTATGAAAATTTAGTTCCAAAAGAAAGACTTCAGTTGCAGCATGAACAAGAAGAAGCTAATAAGTCTCTGGCAGTCCCCTCTGACCATGAAGACAAGGTAACAGAAGTTTTGGCCTTCCAGAATGGTAAGTACCTTTGACCTGACTTATATATTGAAACCCATCCAAACAATAGATAACAATGTACATATATTTATTTCAATGTACTCTTTTCTTAGAGACAATTGAACACTCAAGACCCCATCTAAGCTATAAAAGTGCTGGTGATTAGATTATATTGTCCTTTTACAAATTTAGGGATGGGAATTCTGAGTTCTGACCTTGTTTCTGTTTCTGAGGAACCCTTCCTTTAAATTATTATAGTCCGTATAGTTAAATGCTAGCTTAGACCACTAGAGATACCATTTGTGTAGTGGACGAAAAACAAAAAAAATAGTCTTAATTAGAGGATAACTTTTAATTTAAATGATTTTTTAATATCAGACACAACTCCTTTGCAAGAACCCAGGCCTATGCATCCTCCAGATGTAGAATGGACTCCAAGAGCTTGCAAGCAAGTCAGAACACCTTTACCATCCACAAGGGTGAGAGTATCACCAAGCCCTAACAAGGGCAACAGTGGCGTACAGGGCTCTCCAATCATTACTGTGTCTACCACAACAACTCCAATACAACCACTACAGGGAAGCAAGAAGAAATATGTGATTGTTCAAGGAAACAACAGGCACTTGAAGGGCCTAGCAAGTCATCGACATAATTTTTATACACGCACAGTAGAAGAAAGCCATCAACCTATTTATCTACAAGGTAAAACAATTTTTTGCCAAAATTCAATGTTGACAGTTGAGTTAAAATGGTCTTATTCAGGGTGTATACTGTGTGACCAGGTTATTAGGTTTGTTGTAATAATTTCTGTTTGTTACATAATAATAATTATTATTATTATAACAAATTTATTATTATTTTTAATTTGTATTATTATTATTGTAACAAACGATTTTTTTGACAGTTATGTCTTTTATTTTAAAACAAGCATTTCACATTCACTTTCCTCTACATTTTACAGTAATTTTTCTCCAATTCAATTCAATTAAATTCCAATATTTTTGACAGGTCTACCACCGCAAGGTTTTAGGCGACTTTGGAAAGCCAGAGAAAATAGTAGCACTGAGAAGCTAACAAAGGTGAACAGTATGATTGAGGCTTAGAATTCTTACCTAATATTTCTATCCCTTTACAGATTGCTTTAATTTCAAGATAGAAAAATCCTTTCAAAGTAATAACTGTAAACTTTAAACTGTCTTAATATGACGTGAACTATTCACAAATCACTGTGAGGGCTTGATCTTCCATATCAAAACAATGTGGACTCTAGCTTGATAAAATAGTGGACATTTTGCAATGACAATGCATGGTTTCCTCACAAAATTATGTCTGGGAAATGACTACAGAAATTCCATACTAATGAGGTGTCAGTTACCAAGATCAGGTACTTCTTATTAGTGGAAGCAAGTTTCCCATGTGACATAACCAATCAGAATGACCTGTCATTTTGCTTGGAAACCAGAGGTGGCATTGAAAAATGACCGCTGTAATTTCTCAGGCCATGTGGATTCTTCCATATTAGAATTTGGCACACTCCATGATGAAATTAAAATAGACTAGGTTACATTAATTTTATTGTCTTTGTTTTATATATTTCCCTAAATTTCAGAGGTCATTAGAACTACTATTTTGCAAAGCTTTAGCACCCGCTAATCAGGAGGCCACGGTGCCTGAGATAGAGACGTCCCCCCTGACATGCATAACAGACAAGGTATCCTGTGATCGAGAGGTACCGCAGTATGAAAGCAATAAGGTGAGCAAAGCGATTATTATGGTTCAGGACTTCACTACACCATTTAATAGCTGCAGTTTCTGCAGTTTGTTTACGTGATTCAGTTTAATGTCTTTTTTACTGAACGAAGCGTTGAATAATAATTATATTACACCCAATAACCTTGTGCCTTTACAGACTATTTCCAACTACGTTATGTTAATCCTTCAAAGTGGTGTTGCTTACCAAATTGCTAATTTTTGTGAATTCTTTGTACTCCTTGATAAGTCTTGTTGACTGAACAACCTGCGCAAACGTCATTACATCAACGGATCGGAGTCAAATTGAATGGTGCATCATAATAAGAAAAGTTATGATGAAAAAAATGCGCTTTATTTGAATGTCAATGTATTTAGCACCAAAGGACTAAGAAGGGGCACTATTTTTACGTCTCCAGCTGGAGACAGGACCGCCATTTTACGTGGTCAACGGACAACCGAGCCACGCGAAGGTCCAGCCGCTTGCAGTGCAAAGGGAGTACCTTCATTTCTCAGTTATTTTAAGACCCTGAGTATTGGTCCGGCCCCGGGAATTGAACCCGCGACCTCCCGTTCTGCAATCAAGCGCTCTACCGACTGAGCTAATCCTTCCTTTGATCTTACATTTCTCATATGCCTGTTCTGTTTTTACATTAGAGTCCAGAACAAAACCTGCCGACACAAAAGATTCCTGATGATAACAGTTCAACACTAGCTGTGAAGGAGGCAAATAACCAGGATAGAGAAGGTAAACATTCACATACAAAAAGAAGACGAATGACACTAACGGCTTTTTGTAGCTAGAAATGGGGCTTGATGATTTAGTAAATTCAAGGAGCTTGTAACTTATATTTAGTCTGAATAGTTTAATAGCCTTCCTCTGTGTCTAAATACTAAAGTTTGTGTAGCATTAGTGTTCAGAAGTGAATGAAGGGGTTATTCCCACCACCCTGATCTTTGTATAAACTGAGTAAAAGTTATGCTTTGTACTATGTGTTTCGGCGGCTTGTTGATCATTGTTATAGCAGATAACGAGACTGATATTTTTTAATGTACTGATGACCTGTGGCTAAAAAGACAGAACTTAACAGTCTGAGAAAACAGCCGACATTTTGTGACGCCACCACTGGTTTCCCCTTGAAATTACGTCTGAGCAACGACTACTGATGAGGTGTCACTACTCATCTGGGTAGTGCTTCTGATTGGTCGTGTCGCGAAAGAAATTTATTTCAACCAATCAGAAGCACTACACAGATACGGGTAGTGACGAGTCATCAGTATGGTATTTTGCGCTCTTTTCTCCGACAGTGTCGTGGTATGTCTGGTGTTCTTCAGGCTAGAAAGTTATACCTAGTAGAGGTCACATACTCTATTTTAATTTTAACCCCCGCTCTCGGTTTATTTGTAAATCTCTTCAGTTACATTGTAGTTTGAAAACAACCTCTCACCAATTGTACTTACAGAGGTTATAGATTCGGAATGTCAAGCAAATAATGAAGAACCTTTGGCTTCGGCAAAAGAAACAACTGATGAAGTGAAAATTATACCAGTCTCACAGGGCAACAGGTACAGAGAAAACAGAGAAAGAAAGAAAGTCCGAGACAGGTATGATTTACGATTTACATCCTTTTTTGAGGTTCAACAGAAATATTCAGATGCTGAATAGTGGAGTCGGCGTATTTTGTANCCCCCCCCCCCCCCAAATTTTGGGCAACTCAGATTTTTGGGGGAGCGAGAGAAAATTTGGGCAAAGCCAGCTTTGACCAGAATTAACTCTAAAATAATTCACACACGTTTTTAAAAAGATTGAAACTACTATAAGGTGAAATTGCATGTCAAAAGCGCTTCGTTTTCTACAGATAACGGCTAAACATCAAGATTTTCCTTTTTTTACTGTATATCTGACGATAAGAACTCTATCCCAATAACAGTGATTCCGTTTTAACTTCACGAATATCGAGGCGACTATTGGAGGAAAAAGCTCCCGAGAACGATTTCCCTGTGAGAAGTAATGCTGCAAGTGTAATAGGTAATGGCGTCAGTTCGTTGCTTTGATAACTCCAATGTCATTGCAACCCAGATCATGACAAATGTTTATCTTTATCTAATACAACTGTGGTGGCAATTTTTCCAAATGTTTGTTAATGGCGACGTAGGTTATGCTCAAACTTGGTAGGTATTGACCCTGAAAAACTGTATCGAGCCACTTTCATATGCCAGTACGGCCTATGTTGTTGCATCGTATGGCCCTCGTTTCTTTTCGACTGTTTTGTAAAAATTTGGGCAACTTGCAAGAATTTTTTGGGCAAATGGTTTACCGCCCCCCCCTGGCCGAAAATTGCCCGTACGCCTATGTCTTCGATGAGGCTTTAAGGACTCAGACAGAATATAAACTGAAGACCAGCTGTTTAATTATGCATTGTTTTTGTCGCAAAGAAAACAGTATATTATTTTCCAAAATAGAAAGAATATAAAATATCATGCCTTGAGCGCGCAACCATCTCCATCTGTTAGAAGATTAGTAAATAATCTCAGGGTAGGTTGTCCTGATTTCCAAAATTAAATTTTTGTGTTATTGTGCTGTAGGAAATATGACGCTGATCTCAAGAAGGCGTTTGAACAGCTCAGACGTGTTGTGCCACGCTTACCGAGGAGCTATAGTCGTGTAAGTGGATATCTTATCTCCAAATTTCTCCAAAACATTTTATTACTTTTCTTTTCGTTCTCGTGTGTTCCACCTAACATGTCTCCGAGGCTGTACGGACAAAACTGCGAATTTTTCACGATTCAGTTGTCTCGTAATTCCCAAAAGAGACTTGAGCACAAAGAAAACTAAACCAAATGTAGATTATGGCCAGAACTGAGAAAGCCTTGGAGTCATGTTAGAATTTTGATCTATGGAACGTGGGCTATTGTTATGTATCACAGTTTTCTATTTCGTGATTCTTCGAGGAGGACGTTAGATATAAATGTTACCAATTAAAGCAACTTAACAATGTTTGTGTACATTTTGCAGGGACTAATTTTGCAGGAAGCCATCAAGTACATAGGGAACCTGGAAAAGAAAATTCAAGGTATGGTGAGGGAGTAAAATTGCAGCTTTGTTTAGCAACACGAACACATTTGGGCAGGCAGTGCCCAGATGAGAGAACTTTTCGCGTTTGACCGCATGTACCAAGCATACCCAGTGAATTCTTTGCTTTTTATGCAGTGGAAGTTGTGTATTCAACTTCATTCTCCACTTTTAACTAAATTTTTCTCTCAATCAACTTGCTATAGATGCGGGTTTATGGCCAACATTACAAGTCCAAGATCACTTTAAGCAAGACGCCCAGTCGAAAGGCACTTCTGACGAAAAAAGTGCCAAGGTGGAGCCCGTAACTGTCACAGAAGCCAAACGTGTATTATCCTCAACGGATTGTACAGTCCCTGATCCTTCCAACAACGTTACTAGTGTAGAAGATGATGAGGCACAACCACTCGTACCTGAGGATGAGAAAGGTTCAAATAGCCAAGAAAACGCCTCAGCTACCTTAACATCTCCCATTATTTTGTCCTTATCGGCAGAGGAAGGGTCCTTTTCATTTGTGAGCCCTGAGGGAGCTACTGTTTTTGCTGTTGATTGTGAGTATCCTGATGATGACTCTGTGACTGTTGAAGAGGCACCTCTGTCAGCCCCATTCGAACAAGTACAACTACTGTCGGTAGATCTCAATGATGACACACCGGTGCTGACACCGCAGTCCCCAGAGGAGTCTTTATCACAAGAGCTTACTCCCAGATTGATACCCCTCGTCGAGATTCCAAGTTACACGGAGAGTGGCGAATCCTCCCGTCAGGATCTTTTTGTGAGCGTGATCGACGGCGTTTCCACTATCAGCCAAGAGGCATTAAGCGACCTGGGTGTCACCTTGTCCCCGTTATTATCTCCGTTGGGAATTCTACTTTCCCCCGGTGGGGATATCGATCACTCTCATGATCCCACAGTTGCTGTCCTGGTGGATGATCTTAGTTCAGCTGTAGATGGAAATATGGCTGGATTAAACGCTGTGGTTCCAGGTGTTTGCACTGATATGACATCAATAGCAGCTTCGGTTGAGGTTACCACTGACATGCAGCGAAAGAAAGAGACATCACCATCATCTGCGAGGAAGAGAGCAAGATCAAGAAAGCGAACAGCACAAACTGTGCCATGTTTATCACCTCAACAGCCTGCTGACATTAGATCAAGCACTTCCCGTCGCAGAAACACGCGAGTTCTACAAGACAACAGCAATTTTGAAGACCCAAGATCGCCTGTTGCTGGTAATAAAAGAGGAAGGAGAAGAAAGGTTAAAGTTGGCCATTCTGAGCAATCGTTCCAAGGTGTTGATGAGAATTCGGCATCTGCGGTCAAACAGACCCGCACACCACCCAGGAGAGTGTCGGGTGTTATCCTGAATACAAAAAGGAAAATGTCAAGTCCCAGTGGGAGTGTGGAAAAGAAAAGTACCCGTCGATTGTAGTTTTAAATTTTGTTTTTGTTCCTGTAATGATCAGAAAATGTCATAAAATTGTGTCGGCGGCTTTGACGGTGTCTTTTGCTAATGCACCTATCAATGTAAACCCCGTTGGGGGGGGGGGGTGCGGGCAAGGGGTGGGGATTTGACAAATTTTAAAATATTTTGATCAAATTCCCCAGGGTGGGAAATGAAAGGTCAATCAAAAGTGTCAAAAAGCCCCCACCCCAGGGGGAAAATCTAAACAAACAATACTATAATACTATATAAAACGAATGGAAAAACATTTCAAAAGTACGTTCTTACTACTTTTATTTAAGGTTAACTTAAGCTCCGTTAAATTACTCGCTGTAATTAAGTATTTTCTCTCTCCATTAGCATCTCTTATTTTGAACAACATGATCACTCCAGGAAGATTGACCGTGCTATTATATTAATGAAACGTAAAATGCTTTATAACATCGGCTCAACATGTCGGAACAGGTCGGATCAGTGACCTGCAAAAAATCCTCTGACTTTCATGGTAGAATTCGATTTCAATCGAGGTTTACAATCAGATGGAAACTTGAAGATAAAAACTTTCTCAAAATAGACATTATCTGTTTAGATGACAGTGTAAAGTATCGGATTATGGCGATTAAAACAAATGAAAACTTCATAACTTTCTCCAACAGCGTGACTTTCAGAAAGCCTCGAGGGACGGACTTGGTTACCGCTTCTGAATTGATACCAGGCTTCTATCGGTCAAAGTCAAATGTCCCGACCCCGGGGTCGCTTCGCACGATCAAAAGCCCGATAGCGGGGATAGTCCCAGGCATCAAATCCCCTCCCCTTGCCCGCCCCCCCCCCCCCCCACCCCCCCACGGGATTTACATTGATAGGTGCATAATCACGTAGTTGCTTTAGAATCTGCACAATAAGAAACATGAATCAAAAAAAGAAGACCATATTCGTTGATCACGAGCTTGTTATATGTCACGGTCACGTGGATGTTAAGGTGATGTTACATGAGACGATTCGCAACGACGATTCTAGCTCAACAAAGGGTTGCACTATTATCGCGACATTGTTTCGAATAGTTACAACATTGCAAAGCTGTGTTGCACTAAAAATCGTCGTTGCGAATCGTCCCGTTTAAGATCACCTTTAGAATAGGAAACAACAGAGTTGAAGTTCGATTTTAAAATTATACCATAACTGCCAAAGTGCGGGCTAGTTTTTCAATTTTTCAAAATTGTTTGAGTTTTTCTCAATAAACTCTCGATTTTTGGTCTCCCATCTTTCTCTAGCCTCTGCGTAGTGTCGTTTTCTCTCTGGTTACGGTCCATTCCTCCAGAGAGGCCAAACGGATTCCTACTATACTACTTACCAAATTTCAATTAGTCATCACGTCTGAACTTGAACCGAGAAAAGTCTAAAAACGCCACGGATTGAGCAACCTACAAAGTTTGGGGGAGTTTTACTAGCGGCGCGACGCTAGCGAAAAGCATAAGAATCTTACTTTAGTATGAAAAAGGGCCCGACGGAGGCATTAGGATCTCTCTAGAGATCTGAGTACGAGATTTATAACATTTGCTTGTGCTTGGATCGGTGTGTTCGTTTCCAGTTGATACAAGGACCCTTATTTTTGCGCATGTGTTACGTTCGAGTCGCTAGAAGAAACTTTAATACAGTGAACTTGAAATAAAGTATAAACCACGCTGCTTTTTCATTTCCTTCTTTATTGCTGTTGAATATTCGAGTTACGTAATGGAGAAAAATGATCAAAGTCTTCAGATCACAACACGTACATTTAACCGTTAAAGACAATTCACAAGTTAGCTACCTTTGTTACACGAATGATTATTTACAAGTTCAACTGACCGTGAACTCAAACTCTTGTTATCCTTTTATGTCTAATAATACTACAAGATTTTTTTTTTGGCATAGGCAGGGTGGCCGAGGGTTACAAGACAGTTTAAAAAACCGAAGAAAAATAGAAATCTCTCTAAACTCTCTGGACCTTCTTCCTCAGGCCCCTTCCAAGATCAATGTTGGCACCTATTTCAAATCCCCTTCATAACTTTGACCATGGTTATAATTTAGCTCTAATAACACCAAGAAAGACTGCAATACGTTTCTTCGCACAAATAAAAAAAAGTCAACTTGGTTATGTTTCGAATATGACGAAACAGTTTGGAGTTGATTCTCTGGTCTCGCTGCAAATATTACAAATAACCTAAGTATAATAATACTCTTGACAAATACGTACTGCACTCAATAACTTAACTTCAACACAATATATCCGTAACCTTTCTTTACGAATGAATGCTATGTACAGTCTTTAAGTTGGACGCTTAAAGTCACAACCCAAAGGATTGGTCTCCTAAGTCATTACTTGGACATCATGGACTATCTCTACGCCAGGACTTACTTATCGGTCACTTACGCGACAATGTAACTAGTAGATCTCCGGAATAAAGGAATTCTTGGTAAAACGAGATGTTAAAAATTTCAGTATAGTATGACTTATCAAATGCTATAATTTGCAACCTTTCCTCAAAGAGTCCAAGACTAAGATGCGTCACCAGATGTCTTGTGTGGTAAAAAACAAAAATGAATTTTTGAGCGCTTCATGTTTTATCGCAACGCCCAACGCCAATCAAAACAACGGAATGGTTCCTTAAAATTTTTATCACGTTTGTTCTTTGCGATTCTCATTCTCCAGACTCAAGAAATGAGTATGCTTGTTATTCACTGCAAGGATGTTCTTACATTTTAGTTTATTTTAGCCTGCGGGTAAGTTCTCCAATTATGGCCAACGAAGCGAGCGGCACAAACCTCCTTTGGTGTACGGCTCTCAGGTGACTTTTCGTGACAAATGAACAGTTTTCTCCCAGGCTAAGTTTATTCATGAAAACCCTATCGAAGCTATAATTGAATCATTACGCTGTAAGCTGTGTGAAGTGTATTAATACTGTTAATATGTGCGTTGCTAACATGGACTCCAAAAGGAAAGATTTACGTGAGTCTTTGTAAGGATATTTTGCCTCTATTTACTTGGAAGGTAAGTTATTTTTGTTCATCAGAGCTGCTACTCTTGCTTTGTTTCGAAGCCTCAAACAACTGATGCAGTCTTGAGTTTTCTCTCTGTTCTTCCTCTAACCGTCCGCGATAGTCTTGGGCCTCTTTCTGTGCGTGTTCAAGCTCTGTGCGATATTTTTCGCTGTCTCGTTGCAAAGTTTGGAGTTTGACTTCAAGGTCCTTTCGAGCTTTCTCTTCCTCTACTTGTCGTTGCTCCAGCAGCTTACGAAGGTCTTCTTGAACTTGCAGTAAAACCTGAGGGCCGATCAGTGGTTGTTGTTGGTGAGGCTGCTGTTGCGATTGCTGTTGGTTATCTACTGTTGTTTGCGCAGGTGTCTAACAATCAAATGATACGAACAAATAATCAAACCAATACAAAGGGCATTTTACTGTCATTGTAAGGCCCAGTTATATGAAGAAAAGTTGTCTTGGGTTGAAGGCTCATCCGGCAAACCCCGTGCGTGCTACCCTGGGAGATCCAATTTTTAAAACGGGACGCGTTTACATGAGACACCAAACTTTGGCTCGGCTGGAAGGATGACTCGCCTACCCAGTCACCCTTTTGTGATGGTAGGGTCACCCTCCTAGCCGGACCAACTTTTCTGCATATAAACACTTTGGCTCACCCAACCGGTCAAGGTGAGACAATCAGAGCATGCGCCAGTGCTGTTTTAGACAATAAGATCACATGCAGAATAGCATTAGCGCTGATGGTGAGGCCAAAGGGAAGAACTTTTTCCTCATATGAACGCTTGCTGAAGTTGACTCGCCCGGGAGGGTGTGTTACGCCGCAAAATGTAACAATTGACGCAAAATGTAACATTAACGCGAAATGTAACAACTTACAAAACGTTTTTCGATAATAATAACTAAATCCTGAAACAGTCGAACGAATTTTTGATTAGTATATCTTTCTGTACATGTGTGTGACGCTGAAAAGAAAGTTGGCGATACAACATCCAGGACGTATTACATGGGTTAGGATGGTACATTTTTAGCATACTCCCTCTAGGGAGTTGAGCCCGTATGAAATCGAGGCGAGTATCGATTGCTGATCATTCTTTTCACACTTTCATCGAGTGAAGACGCTTTCTGTTTGTATCCGACGCTGTCTGTTTTTACCCACCTCCCCCCCTTTTCCCTAAAAGGAAAGTGTAGCGGAGCAGTCATCCGACTGCGTGAGATAATCAACAGTGTTAAATGGGCATTGGCATGGTTAAGTTTTAAGGCAGCAGGACTGGGTTGGTATGAAATTTCTCACATTTACTGGAAGTCTTATGACCTCTTATTGACTACGTTCAAAATTTTCTTTTGAAAGATTACCTTTCTTAACTTTTACTTTTAACTTGCATTTCAATTGCTTATTGGTGCGTCTTTCCTACGGTGTTATTGTTCACATTTCTAGTCATATTCTTTTCGCATAGCTTGGGATATTTTCCATACGTTATGTTTAATAAGTTAGCGTTGTTGTTATTGTCCATACTGCTATTCCAAGGTTATACATGACTTGTAACTTTATCACCTGTTTTACTACCTTTTGTAAGTTTATTTGACATTATAAGAAAACTTTATAAATAAACTGTTTTTGTAACCACCAGACAACAAATGATTTACACTTTATCTACAAGGCTCATGTCCAAGTCTCTCAGTTATTTCAAAGGTGTTACATTTTGCTTGTTACATTTCGCGTTAAAAATATTGTTTCATTTTGCGTCAAAAAGTTGTTACATTTGGCGTTAAAAAGTTGTTACATTTTGCGTCAAAAGTTGTTACATTTCAGGTTAATGTTACATTTCGCGATTATGTTACATTTTGCGGCGTAACAGGGTGACCCTTCTACTGGCAACAGGTTTTGCTCCATATAAACCGTGCCTTAGAAGCAACAACATTGTCTTCCGGTTCCTCTTGTTAATTAAGTCATTCCAAGAAGGCAAAAAAAAGCT